CGTGTGTGTATACAGCTGAATATGTATTATATATGCATAAAAAACAGCTTTTGAACTGCAGTCTTTAATAGGCGTATGCAAGTTATCTGTGACACTGAAGTTGTTACCCTTACACTTCCTCCTGCATACTTTGTTTAACCTCCTTGTTGTGTCTTGTCTTAACTCCTATTAAAAGTCATGTTGATGCTTTATTTTGTCCAAGCTGAGTCATTACATTGACTTCAGTGAGACTCCTTAATAGAGGTGGACAATATTTTTGTCCATGACTCATTCACTAAAAAAGTTTTTGGGTATTTGGGAAGTGGAGCATTTAGTCTTTGCTCTAATGAATAACGGGTAAAGAGGAGATCTGAACCACCTAGAGCTCCCACATTGTGGCTGAGTATCTTAATCACTGGCTATAAGAGTGCTACCTCCCTATATTGTGTGATAGCACCTAAGTCTGCTTGTAAAACCAGTGTCTTGTTTACAAATGACTCTTTATTTTATGTTTTAAAAATTATACATTTTAATATCAAAGTGAAATTTCATTTTATCCCCAATTGAATTTTTGATTTGTTAAAGATTTTGGAAAAAATGTTTTAGATCTATTTGAAACACTTTATTTCAATTACTAGTGAATTAAAAAAATGATTATCAACACATTTCTGCTTTGTGAAAGGTAAAAAGAAAATTGAACCAGATATAAGGATTTGCAGGGTTGGGTCTTTTGGCCGTAAGTTATTCATAGTTAAGGCTTTGTGATCCTGGGTGTTGGTACAGCATCAGACAAGTTAGGATCCTGATCCTGACTTGAACTTTAAGGCAATACTTTAATTAGAGTAATAATAAGAAAGTGAAATAAAAATTGACCTCTTTGCATTTATTAACCTCTAATTTCTTGAAGTTCTGAGGGTTTCATAATAGTTCTGAGGGTTTAGTAATACTGGATTTTTAGTACTATTGAAATCTTCAAGTTTGTAGTAATATTCAAACTTCCTACTTCACCATTTCTTTTCTTGGAAGAAAGAAAATTGGAGGGAATTGCCACATATTGCATATGTACTACTAATTATGTATGACACATTAAACTGTATATTTTAATATATATGGTAGGGGTGTGCGAAATGGGCCATATTCTATTTGGATTTAGCCCAAATCGGGGACAGTGATTCGATTCGTTCATTCAGACCACTGTTCTGATTCAATTTGGCCAAATCAGAATCTGAAGATTCAATGCTAATTTAGAGAATCAGCTATTTGGCCGTAGATACAGCTTTAAATGTCTTTTCTACGTACCTCGAGGTACCAGGCATGGCTCATGAATGCTTTGATGGTGGAGTGGATGGAGTGTCCTACAGGAGCACCGGGGGGGGGGGGGAGGGCGGCTCGCGGGGGGACCCCGGAAAAAG